TGATATTAATATCGATAAATTTTTGTCAAATTTTTATGATATCKTCAAACATATATTTTACTCAAAAATAAAAACATCATCGCTTTCTCAAAATCACATAAAGCCATATTATAACGTCGACTGAGATAAAGAATAAAATGAAATATTAAAAACACGATGTATCTCGCTGCATTGCGCGAGTACGCTTCTAGTATATATATACACACACATACATACATATATAAATATATATGTTTGTGTGTGCCATTTTTTATGTATTATTATTTGTACATATTTATCATATATGAACTAATAATAAATATTAAAACTAAAATAGCATTTGTAATCAAATAAACTAAAATTATATATACATCAAACTTGCATAAATATTAAACACCAAATTTGTTGTACATTCACCAACATCAGTTGGTGTAGAATTATAGTGAAACTATTTGAAAATTGATATAAAAATGAGATTTTGGTGATGATGAGATGTCTTTTACCGATCAACAAATTCACACAAATTTCTTGAATAAACATGTTTGACAAAATTATATATGCAACAAAAATAATAAGTTCTCAATTATTATTATAGGATCTTCTTAAAATAATAAGTTATACAAATATTAATTGTGCTATTAATTTTATTTCAAATAAATATTTATTGGTGTAAAAGTATGACAAAAATGAACTTTAAAAATTAATCGGAAGTGAAAAAAAAAGAAACGGGGAATAGGGAGCTAAGTATTAAAAACGAAATCTAGATAAATATAAACAAAATAATCTCTAGCTAATTGATAGAAACATCCTGATAATACTAGAAGACCTGACTCCTGAGTTCATATCTTCCTAGTAACAATTTCATTTAATTTAGTATTGGGCTATTTGGTGCCTTGGGCCGCCGCCCGGGCTGCCCACCCTTAGAGCCGACCATGTTAGTACTATGTATATACATATAAGTAAAGAGTTGTTTGATTGTGGCTTAATGGGTTGTATATCCTATATGACTTATTCGCTTAACCATAACTAGCCGTTCGCTTGTGGTTTATTCAGTTAGTCCATGACTTAATCACTCAGTTGGTAACACACACTCCTTCAGACTAAGCCATTTAATTTTTCATTAATTCCCTAACTACCCTTCAACTTCTCATCTTCTTGATCAACCCACTTCACGATCTGCATTCCTTCCATCTCTATTCTTTCCACCTTCAACCCAATTCACGATATGCACTCCTTCCATCTCTATTCTTTCCACCTTCAACCCAGTTCACGATATGCACTCCTTCCATCTCGACCAAACTTCACGCCAAACTACTGTCACCATCTCCAATGGCCTAATCTTTAATGTTCTTTGGTCATCTTCTTCAGCCTAAATCAAAACCCAATCAAAATCAATCCTAAAATCCAAATCTGAAATCAAATAAAAGCCTAACCCGAATTTTAAACAATACCCAACCACATGTACCATCCTCTTTGTTTGACCAAGTAGCACCTAGAGAACGAAGAAGATGGAGGTGAAAGGTTTGACTGATCAGCAACACCCAAAAAACGAAGCAACTGTCTGCATCACCACCCAATCAAGAGGTCTGGATAATGGTTTCCAACTATGAAGATTGCTATGTGGGTGTGGTTTGCCTGGGAACGAAATGGTAGTGGTAGGGTCACCTCCCGTGTAATTAGAAAAAGGGAGAGGGGGGGGGGGATACTAAGGTGTTTGATGAAACGTTTGCAGAGAGATGTGGTTTCTATTTAAAAACAATGTTTAAGTTGATATCTTTTATACAATTAAAAGCTATTTATTCAACATTTTTATCAAAGTGTGATTTTATTCATCAAAAATATACACGGGAAAATGATCATTTATACATTTAGATTGTTTATCCAACACAACCGAACAACAACTTATCTGTCATCATACAGACAACTTTATCCGTACATCTAATAGAAGTTGAACCGAACAACCCCTAAATAAGCTTAATATAAAAAATATTATTTTTATCTAGGTAAAGACAAAAAAAGGTTAAAAAGACTATAATGTCCTCACATTTAACTCTGTCAATAATTTTTATTTTTATTTTTGAATAAGCGCTTACCAAGTCACATTACTTCACCGAATAAATATGGTAAGGACTAAGAATCTTACCGGGTAAGAGCGAGACAAGGACCACGAGTCTTACCAGGTAAGTGAGGACGATGCGTTTACCGGGTGAATTGTTGCATACAATGTCGTTTTGATGGATTAAAATCTTACCCGGTAAATAAATAATAGTGTTAAATTTTACCGATAAAAACTTACCGGGTAAGTGTTTGATAAACGGCCCCACCCTTTTTTATTTTTTTAATTAAAAAATGATCACAAATATTTATAGTATTTTAAGTCTTATGGCTATCTTATTTTGAAGAGGGAGAGGGTGATGGGGTTATGTTTGATTTGGTCGGTCTCCATTCCCACTTCCTAATCTATGTATTAAACAATATTCGGCTCTAAATATCGTTGGTCAATTTTGTCATATATATGATATGATATGGTAGATAATATATATATATATATATATATATATATATATATATATTTCTGATTTAAAAATATTTAGTTTGGAGTATATAACTAAGAAAATGAAATTATAATGAAATTTTATTATAAGGGGCCGTTTATTAAACACGTACCCGGTAAATGATTACAGAGTAATTTTCTTTATCGTATAAACATGGCAAGGGTAAAAAATCTTATCTGGTAAGAACAATGATAAAGATGGAAAGTCTTATTCGGTAAGTAAAGGTAATGACTCTTACATGGGTAAGTACTTACCGGGTAAATTATTGCATACGATACCACTTTAATGTACTACAATCTTACCCGGTAAAATAAATTATATTATTGACTCCTAACATTAAACGTTTACCGGGTAAGCATTTAGGTAAACGGCCCATAAATTACATGTTTGATCCTCATGGTTTACCAAAAATTGTACTGTGAGTCTCTTAAGATAAAATAATTACGGAAAAAAATCTTGAGATTTACATTTTCTCACGTATTGGGTTCTTGTGGTTTACACTGTGTAACGTCCTAAGCCCTTGACATTGACTATGTTTAAAATATTATATTAACTTGGGGATATTTTGGTCTTTTTCATAAAAAAAATAGATAAGTATAGCTTATCATAATAGATATACATAAATATATACATCACTGTCACTACCATCACCACCACCCAATTCAAACACAGTACAGTACATATTTAAAAACCATTAACAATTTAACGTCAACAAACAGTAAACATGAACAACATCTATAAATTCGTTCAAAAATGTGTGGTACAAACCATAATATTAAAACCCCAGGTAAGCACTATATGTAAAATCTAAAATCTAATATAAACCCTAAATCAAAAACCAAAAACAGGTGCACAAATTAATCTAACGAAGATGACGATATGTACATGTTACCAATGTAACGGAACATATAATGTGTTCCTGATATGAGGAAGATGAAGATATGTCGAGCCTTCTATTGACCATCGTGAGCAATTACTATATAGGCTAATCGTGGGCATTCCATTGACAATCTAATCAGTAAACTTTCATGTACGATCAAATCTAGAAACTTGCTCATGTACAATTTGATCTAGAAGCCCATGTACGTTCTTCTATTGATGATCTAATCTAGAAACCGTTGTGGGAAGAGGGAGGGCGAAGAGGGGGACTGGTCACTGATTTAAGAAAGATAGAAGGAACACATCAGTGGGGAAGGCTCCGTGGTCCCATTGTTTTGACAACGTCGATCTACGTGGTGTATGACAACACCGTGGTATTAATGCTTCGACAATGTCAACTGGAGGAACATGGCGTATCCCTGTTGCCAGATATAACAGTTTGGTTGGTGTGAAGGGGGGGTTGTGTTCAGGAAGTCACGAATTAGGGGAGGTTGAACGGATGTGTGTGTGTGTATATATATATATAGAGAGAGAGAGAGAGAGAGAGATGACAAATCATACAAACCAATCTTAATCGTCCATCTAATTTGATGAATATATAGTTTTTTAAATATATCAATTGTTTCCTAACATGAAACATTGATTAAAATAAATAAACTCTAATCATCTTTCAAAAATATTCGAATCATAACAAATGAACCATAATCATTTCCATAAATATCTTAATTGATTGGTTTATATGTTTTATAACATTTACATGGTTTGTATTTGATTCATCATATACGCATACATGTATCATACTATATAACATATAATATTGTTTAGTTCTTTAACAAAAAACGAATTAATAGTTAAAACGACCAGACAGATTCTTTTAACAGAGTCAGAAACAAGAATCTAAAGCGTAACAACATGTAAACCACCAACACAGTCCTTCATAATTACTTCATGTATTTCACTCTTTCTTTGTTTTTTCTATACATGATGGACAAAAGCTTGGACTAATGAATTTCACATCATCCATAGCAAAGATTCAACCAAAATTTTGATTACATCATTCGTGCCATTTAAAAACCCTGATTCACGATTGAAAACCAACACATTTATCCATTTCATCTACCAACTCACTTCTTTCAATTAAATAGAAACCATCAAGATTCAAGAAACCCCGTCATCCTAAGGATTGAGTCCCTGACTTCACTCAAATCCCTTCCTTTCAATGTCCTCCCGTTGCCGGAACAAAGAGAAAACGCTGCTTTTCCGGCGACTCGTCGGTCTACCACCACATGTGGCGGAACTCTCTCTTCCCCTTTTCCGTCATCGTCGTCTTTTGAATGTGCTTCCAAATACTGTCGTATCCATGAACTCCCGGAAAATTCTTCCGGAATGCTCATCGGAACCGAGACTTTCTTCTGCTTTTTCTTATCGGATTTTTTCTTCCCTACTTTCGGACACCGGATTTCTTTTCCGTTCCCGGCGGGTTTCTCCGGGAAGACAAGATCGGATTCTTGAAACTCCTCCGTCATCGGAAATGGGGTTTTGGGGGTGTATTAGAAAAAAAGAATTTGGAAGAAGGTTGGCCATGGAAGGAATTTATAGATTAATACTTAGCTGAAGTCATAATTATTTACTATTAAAAAATAAATATATATTATATGTTTCTTGCAGGTCACGTCTGTGGGCGGTATTGGTGTGAGTAGCTGTTGGAGGACCTTTTGTACGAAACTCACATCCAAATATTCTAACAATTTTTTTGTACGTTTCCTAAATTTATGGAAAATAGACTTAAAAAAATAAGAAATAATATTATATTTCTTAATAATAATTTGTCCAAGCTACGCATTCACGGCTAACCGGAGCCAACGCGGCTGAGCCGAAGACAAAGATTGCTTTGGAGCTGGAGGTGGAGCATAAGGAGGGAAATGATTAGGCGTATACGCGGCGTACGAATACGTTGTAAAAGCATGCTACTCGGCGCATCCAACGGCTCCTGCTCCGCTTCTTTATTCTTTTGTATTTGAATATTTTTATATTTATCAACCAGGGGAAAATTATCTAATTTTTCATTTTTATTCAAAAAAAAGGTACGTTACGAGGTGTAGGTGAGTTAATGACGATAGCAGCCAGTGATGATGCGACACGTGGATAGTAGACTTGAGACACAACAAGACAAACAAACCAGTCACCGACATGTGGAGAGTTGGATGGTAGACGCTACATACGTAATGAAGACTTTGATTGGTCCGAACCATGTCAATGGTGATAATCGTTCTTCTGTTTCATCACATTATTATGTACGAAAATTAATTAAAATAATCATTTTAATCGTATAATTCTTATTTTTAATCATTTTTTTAAATGATAAAAATAGTTATAGCTTTGTAATTGAGAGATCCGTAATATGTGGAAGAATTAAAGTATAAGAAAAAAGGTAGTTTCTGAACCAGGTTTATAATTACGGGACCAATTATGTAATTTTAGTGTGGACATATTTAATAGACCTATAAATTTGTTTGAATTTTGTGATCGGAGATTGACAATAGTTTGACTTGAGCATAAGTTGTTTTTTTTTTAAGTATATAATATTTATATACAACAAATAGAACACATAAACTCACACACCCTTCTCATCATTGATGAGGTTTGAACTATTGATCTCTTAGAAGACCAATGACTCACATACCGCTAGGCCAAAGGCCCTTTGGTGACTTGAACATAAGTTGTTGGTGGTATACTGATATATAGTATAGAGATCAAAACAAAACATACGAAACTTTCGATATGTACGCATGCGACATTTCTTTCTTTCAGGTTTTCTATTTTTTTTTCAAGAACGTTACTTAGATTTTTGTATGTGAAAATGGGTCATTAAGGATGTATTTGATATGCAAACAAGACTCGACACAACAGAGTGAAATATGCAAAAGAGTTGTACAAAGTTGAAGATTTTAATTTTACATTAACAATTTAACAACTTTTGAATCTTGTCTTACCTGTTTGGTTTTTGTTCCACTTATTTTGATGTTACAGAAATGTATATCTTTGTTCTGTTCAGTATTTCATAATATCCCAATCTAATGAAAAACAATTAGATATAATGTATATAAAGGTGATAACAATAAGCATTAAATACTTTCATTGAAAGGTTCATGACAAAGACTTTAATCTCATCCATAATTTGAGTTGTTGAGTATAAAAGGATATAATGATATGGAATCTAATCTATTATTCTATATATCTATAAATGGAAAACCAAGTAATAATGATGTGGCATGTTTTTAGAGTAGGATTCTTAACTAGGAATTTTGTGGTGTTTTTGAATTTTTAAAAGATTAATTGTTTTAAAGGTTTCTGTTCCTCTATATATAAAAACGTATTTTTCATTGCAATCAAGTCATTTTGATAATTTTACAACTGTTTTATTTAATTTTTAATCTACAAAGCTTTCAGCGTTCTGGAAGACTTTTTACTTTCCCCATGTCTTAATCCATTTACAACATGTAACCATTTTACTCTATCCTTCCTTTAATTTATTTATTTTGATTTAGATTTGTTTTTCTTCTTCATCTCTTGAATTTTTTCCAGTTTGTTTTTGATTAGTTTTTATTATCATCGATCTCTCCATCCCTGAGATTAATTAGACCATCATCTTCATTAGATACACCCAATATTTCTTTTTAATTCTTTTATTTCACATGACAATATTTTGTGTGTGTATATATATATATATAT